TCCTCCTCCTCCTCTCCTCCTCCTCCTCCTCCTCCTCCTCCTCCTCCTCCTCCTCCCCCTCCCCCTCCTCCACCTCCTCCTCCTCCTCCTCCTCCTCTTCCTCCTCCTCGGGTCGCCTACGGCCCCGAGGGAAACCGTGCACCCCCAGCAGGTGAATAGTTGCTCGCCGCACATCCGTGGAAGCCTTTGCCTGATCTCGTTTCTCCCCTTCTCCTTCCGTCTCCTCCTCCAGAGCTCCGTCGACTCGAGCAGGCTCGCGCCGGAAGCTTTTTTTTCGCCAGCTCTGCAATGGTCGTGGGGGCCACCTCCGTGCCCAGGGCCACCGAGCAAGTCTCGGGATGATCAGGCGATCAGGCTGGTCCCCGTGGAGGGGTCGAGCGTGCCAGGGGCTGGCGACTGGACAACCTTCGAGTCGTCGGAGGGCCGCACGCCTGTCTGCATGCTGCCCTGCAGCCTGCAGAGACGCCTCTGCGCCCCGCGCCGCTGCCAGGGGCTGCGGGGCCGCCCCGCGCTCTCCCCGCGGCGCCGCCGCGGGGAGAGCGCCCTCCCCCGCGGTTCTTCCTCCTGCGGCCGCCCTCTGTTGAACGAAGGATTGCAAAACAAGGATTGCAAAAAAACCCTTTTTGCAATCCTTTTTCGAAGGATTGCAAAAAAAACCTTTTTGCAATCCTTTTTGCAATCCTTTTTGCAATCCTTCGCTACGCCCCCCTGTTGCATGCGGGACATGTCGCAACTCCGCATCCCGGGTTCCTGCTGGACGCGCGAGCGGAGCTCCTCTGCCGCGCCGCGACGGACCAGACTCCGCGCGCTGCCTGGCTCGCCCCTCTGACGTTCCGCTCGTCCTCGCCCCGCGCCGGACAGGCCGCACACCCGAGCCGCGGTCTGAGACGTTGTCCCGCTGCCCCCCAGAGATGTCGGAGGTTGATAGGCCTCCCACCCTGACACGCCGATTAAGGAATTGGCCGTTGTCGGTTCGCGAGAGGGCGTCGCGGCCGCCATTTTCTGCGGGTCCAGGGCCGTCGGTTTCGGTCCCAGGCCGTTTTCACTAAAAAGGGTGGTTTACCTAAAGGGAGGTCTGTCCACCGCCGACTCTGTGGGGCATTCCGGAACGAAGATCGTCCAAAAGGAGGTTTGCCAAAGGCTGTTTTTTCACTAAGGGGAGGTTTGCTAAAGGGAGGTCTGTCCACCGCCGGAGACGACAGGCGCCGGGGCCGTGGGGCCGTGCGCCCACCGGGACCCGTGCTGCTTCCCCCAAGCGGTGCTGGCACCTGGGGGCGCCCACATTGAGGTCGGGCCTGCCCCTAAACGACCACAGCCACTGCTTTTCTTTTGTTGCCGCCTTCCAGCCAGCAGAAACGTCGCAGGCCTAGAGGTTGACACCAACACCAATATCGGCGGTGTTCCTCCACCGTGGGAAGAAGATCCCGATCTCGGTGATGGTGGTAATATTCTGGCTTCCAAGGTGACCGAAATATTACCACCAACACCGAAATCTAGGATCGTCTCCCCCTGTGGAGGCAGCCCCCTGTCTTGGTGTTGGTGCCCATTTCCAGGCCTCCAAAAACGAAGCAGTGGCGGTGGTCATTTTCATTAAGCTTGGCACCAGGGAAATGACCACAACCACTGCTCCTTTTTCGGCCGGCTGGAAGGCGGCGCAAACAAGAAGCAGTGGCTGTGGTCATTTTCCCGTCCCGCACCTCCACAGGAGGCATACCCAGAAGCAGTAAAACAAATCGTCGGTGGGCGATTTTTTGCTTATCCCTGGATACTTTCGAATCCATTTTGGGGCTAGTCTTGGGATTTTTTTTCGTCCGAGATCCGCCTGCAGGGGGACGCGCCCGACCCGAGCCTGCTTCTCTTCCAGAGCTGCCGGGCCCCGGTGCCGCTCCGGCCGGCTCGTGGCCGCCCCGTCGTCGCGTCTTTTGCCGGCCTCGCCCGCCGTGGGGCCCTCTGGTGGCGGTCTCTGGCCGGCCCGTGGCCGCCCGTGGCCGCGCGCTGCGAGCGTGCTGCGCTGCGTCGGGTTGCGCTGCACTGCATCCGGAGGGGAACAATTATCCTGGCGAAGGACCCAACCAGATGCAATTGTGAATAACGCTTTGTGGGTGCCGCTTTCGGTGGGGCTCCCTATGGGGCCACGAAAGGCGTGCCACGAAACGCGGGCAGAGGGAGGGGGCAGCGGGAGGAAGGAAGGAAGGAAGGAGTGAACGCGGGGCGCTGTCTCTTCAAAACGAGGACCCAACACCACAGGATGGTTGGGAAAAACACACAGACACAATTCATCGTCGATGCCCCCAGAAAATATATGGGAAAATATGGGAAGTGGGGTGGAGGACAGAAACCCAGAAGAGATATAATAAGATATGGGGAATCCGCTTATTTGTGTGTATTTATATGTCTGTCCCAGGGCCCCTTCATTGCATTGCGTTCCATTCCATTCCACTGCGTTGCTGTGTGTTGCCGTTCGTTGCTTTGCACTCTGCGCTGCCTGGCAGTGCTCTGTGTTGCTTTGGACTGTTTCGCGCTGTCTTGCATATATATATATATATATATATTGCCTTGCATTGCATTGCTCTGCATTGCTTTGTGTTGCTTTGCATTGCACTGCTTTGCATTGCTTTGCATTGCATTGCATTGCTTTGCATTGCATTGCATTGCTTTGCATTGCTTTATATTGCTTTGCATTGCTTCGCATTGCTTCGCATTGCTTTGCATTGCGTTGCACTGCATTGCACTGCATTGCTTTGCATTCCACTGCATTCCATTGCGCTGCGGTGTGTTGCTTTGCATTGTTTCGCGCTGCTTTGCACCACATGCGTTGCACCACGTAGACTGCGCCGCATGGGTTGCACCTACCTATGTTGTTGCACCGCGTATTTTGCACGAACCACTAGTTGGTGCCCACGCTGGCTAGCATCGTCGTTTTTTTTTTTTTTTTTTTTTTTTTTTTTTTTTTTTTTTTTTTTTTATTATTATTATTATTATTATATATATATAAAAAGAGAGTTAATTTTGTAGATATATAAAAAACATATGCATGGCTCTTGGAGCTCTCGACCCCCTCTCCCTCGCTAGGTTTTCGTCCAGGGCCGATTTTCTGCTGGTCCGGGGACCCGGAAACGGCCGCAGCATTCCCGAGTGTGCTGAAACATCCCTACCTGTTTTTTTCAAGATGCTCGAGGTTTCGGTCTACGCCAGGGGAGCCGTTGACATTTCGTTCGGAGGTCTCGGGGGCCTGCTGGGGGGAGACCCCCCCCCGAGCATCGCTGGCGCGACGGAGATGTGGCGCGCTCGCTCGCGCAGCTGCCGTATCTGCCACAGGTAGAGACCAGTGTGCTCATGGGTGCTGGCCCAAATTCCTGTCGACAGAGCCCACGTTGAAATCCTGCGGTCAGCTTTTTTTGGGTAACGCACCGATCTCGGGCCAGGTTTTTGAGTCCCAGGGAGGCCCCAAACCCCGTGTTCGTGTTCTCCGCTCTCGCCCTTCCGCAGGCCGCAGGCGTCGAGGGCTTCTGCCCGCGCGCACCTGCGTTGGCCCCCTCTGCGATTCAAGTACAGGCCGAGGGGGAGGAGTGAGGCTTTTGGCAGTTTTGGGAGACCTCTGGGGGCTCCCTGAGCGCTCGGTCTCCCTCTCCCGCCCACTCGCTCACTCGGTCACTCGCTCTTCCAGTTTTCCACTCACCGAGGCTGCCGCTAGTGCTGCTGGTGCTGCTGATGCTGACCAGGATGCTGTTGCTGCTCACTGTGATGCTGGTGGTGGTGGTGATGATGACGACGGTGGTGGTGATGACGACGATGCTGATGCTGCTGCTAATGCTGATGCTGATGCTGCTGCTGCTGACGCTGCTGCTGATGATGATGCTGATGCTGATGCTGATGCTACTGCTGCTGATTATGATGGTGACGACGATTCTGATGGTGGCGATGATGATGATTCGGCTGGTGATGATGGTGATCATGATGATGGTGATGCTGATGATGATGGTGATGCTGATGATGATGCGGATGCTGCTGATGATGATACTGATGGTACTGATGATGATGCTGCTGACAACGCTGATGATGCTGCTGCTGATGATGCTGACAGTGATGATGTTGCTGATGATGCTGATGATGATGCTGCTACTACTGTTGATGCTGATGATGATGACGATGCTGCTGATGAGATGATGGGGATTATGATGCTGCTGATGATGCTGATGATGATGACGATGTCGATGACGACGATGACTATTATTATTATTCTTATTATTATTATTACTAGTATGATGATGCTGATGGCGATGACGGCGATGATGATGAAATGATGCTGATGCTGACTATGATGCTGCTGCTGATGATGATGCTGTCGATACTGATGCCGAAGCTGATGCTGATGATGGTGCTGCTGCTGCTGATGATGATGATGATGATGATGATGATGATGATGGTGAGGATTACACTGGTGATAGTGCTGATGATGATGTTGATGATAATGATGCTGCTGATAATAACGGTGATGATGACGATGATGGTGAGGATGAGTAGGATGATGCTGATGATGATATGATGATGCTGGCGATGCTGATGATGCTGATGATGATAAGTATGATGATGCTGTCGACGATGATGCTGATGATGACGATTCCGATGATACAGATGATAACGGTGATGATGCTGATCATGATCATGATGATGATGATGATGCTGATGATGATGATGGTTGTGATGAGGACCAGGATGATGCTGATGATGGTGATGATGATGATGATGGTGATGATGACGACGATGCTGGTTATGATGATGATGGTGGTGATGATGCTGATGATGATGACGATGATGATGATACTGCTGATGATGATGACTATGCTGCTGCTGATGATGATGATGATGCTGCTGATGATGATGATGATGATGATTCTGATTATGATGAGGATGATGATGCTGATGATGGTGATGCTGCTGCTGATGATGATGCTGATGATGGTGATGCCTCCTTCGCAACGTTCCATCCTCGTGTCCGCAGCGTGGCCCATGGGATCAGGATGGTACAGCTCAGGCTGCTCGTCTCGCCGCCGCAATGCTGACGAGACTGGCGGTCTTCCCCTGGCTGGCGGCCGTGCGGCGCTGCACTGCGGCGTGCCCCTTCGGAGGGCAGGTCCGGGCGGCGACAATCCGGGGGCGGAGGGCGGTCCGATCGAACGGTGGCCAACGAACGCCGTGCCCGGAGCAGAGAGACATAAGCTCACGCATGGAGGGAGGAGGGAGGAGGGGCCGTGGGCAGTGGGGGGGGGAGAGGAGCCCCCACCAGCAGCTGCCAGGGTCTTCATATGGTGTTCCCTCCTCCTCTTCTTCTTCCTCCTCCTCCTCCTCCTCCTTCTTGTAGAGGAGGAGGGGCGCTGGGATTGGAGCAACCAGTCCGCCGGAAGTCGGGGGGACGGGCGGGCGCGCGGCCTGGGACTGGCGTGCGGGCGGGCCACGGTGCTGGCTCTCGCGGTCTGCGCGGGCGGTGTCTTCGGCATGGGGGCGGAGGGTGCAGGGAGCTGCGACATGCGTGCCCCTCAGAGGAGGTGCGCGCGAGGCGCTCCTTTCCAAGACGGCTGCGAGACGATGCTGATGCAGTGGGGACCCATGCCAAGAAACACCCTTCTTGCCTCCAGGGTGCCCCGGGTCGCTCGGGTTCCGATGGTTTTGCGATGGACAGCGTGGCGTTCCCGCGCCACAGATCGGTGGACGCCCTGGGGTCTCAGGGCTGGGCTTCTCTTGGAGGGTTTCTTGTGGTCGAGTCCCTGTGAAGCAGGAACATCGGTGCTGGCAGGGGGGGTGTGGGGGGGGGCCTCGCGCAGGGCGGCGGGCCCCCCCGAGGCGGAGGGCAACTTGAGCCTGCATCGCTGGGCCTGCGGGTGTGCGGGGTTCGGTAGGCGGGCCCCAGTCGGGGTCATCGCTGCGCGGGGGTGTGGGTCGGGGTGGGGAGGTGTCTGAGGAGGAGGAGGAGGAGGAGGAGGAGGAGGAGGAGGAGGAGGAGGAGGAGGAGGTGGAGGAAGCACCCGCCGTGGCGCGCCTCGGGGCACGCTGCCCTGCGCGTCCTCGGAGTCTGCGCGCGGGGTCCGCTCGCGGCGCGGCGCCCTCTTCCCGACAAGGGGGGCAGGAGGCGGGGAGCCTCGCTGTCGAGCAAACGGTCGGGGGGGATCGAGGGGGCATCGGGGACGGGGGGGGATAGAGAGAGGTCGAGGAGCCTCGAGGTCGAGGAGCCTCGAGGTCGAGGACTGCTTGGGGGCCCTGCCTCTGCCCCCCCCCCGAGAGCACCTTTCGGGGGCGTCGCGAGCGGCGTCGGGGGCCCCCTGGAGGTCACAGGAGAGAGAGAGAGAGAGAGAGAGAGAGAGAGCTCGGAGCGCTTTCCCGGCGTGGATCTGTCAGGAGGGTGCTCGAAGGCGCCCGATCGCGTTCTGCAGTCCCTGCCGCTGGGGGCCCCTCCCCCCCCCCCCCCGAGGGGCCACGGGGGCGTCGAGGGGTGTCGGGGACCTCCCCAGAGAGGTGTCGCAGGAGAGAGAGCGATAGAGAGAGAGAGAGAGAGAGAGAGAGCTCGGGGCGCCCTTCCTGGCGTGGTCCGTCGAGGGGGGCTTTGCTCGAATGCGCGTCCGATGATCACGCTGTTGTCGCCGGCCCCGCGCGGAGCCGGGGGGGGCAGCAGGGGGAGGGGGGGGAGAGGGCCCCTTGGAGGCACGGCCCTGCTCCTCATCGGGGGCGGCAGAGAGGGGGGTGATGACCGGGGGGGGGGTGGATATCATGGCGGGGGCCATGATATTTCCCCAGATTTCATGGCACCTCTTCTTATTCCATCGCGTCCCTGGTCCCCCCGCTGGGCCGCGCACTTGCCGCCGGTCATGATTTGCACCCCCCCCTCTTGGACACCCCCCTCTTGGCCGCTCCCGACCTCAGAAGGCGCTAGCTTTGTCTGCAGAGGAAGGGCCCGCGCCCTCTAAGGAGGCGGCCTCCTGCGCAGAAGCCTTCCCCCCTCCCCCTACCCCTGCGTGCGCGCCGCCAAAACTGTAATCCGCGAGACGCGTGGGAAGCGGTTCGGCGCAGCCGCCCTGCTTGTTGTGCGCCTGATGGTAGCCGGTCAGGAGGTATCACGCGGAAGCAGTTCGACATTGCAGTGGGAGGTCCCAGGGGCGCAGTCTGGCGCTCAAGGCCTTCGCAGGCGAATCGCAGCCCCTTGTGCTCCAGTGGAGCACCACGTGTTTGAGTTTTGCAGGTCGCACGGCTAGGGGGCGGGGACCAGAACAATCAATTCGGAAGTTCGGAGCCAGCAGCAGCAGCAGCAGCAGCAGCAGCAGCAGCTTCGAGTCGGCCATGTCGCTTGGCTTGCATTCCCAGCCCAGGGCCCGAGCTCGCTCCCCGACGGGCACCCCGACGTCGCCGAGCGCAGGCTGTCGCAGAGCTACCCGGGCTACCTGAACGACAGCGGCGCTGACGACGTGGGCGCCCTGTCGTACGAGTGGCCCGGCCACCCGGTGCCCACGTACAACAGCCACCTCCGCACCATACTCGACCGCTCCAGGGAGGCAGGGGACGCGGAGCTGTGCTACTGGGCGTTCCACACCTACCCGGAGGGGGAGGGGGGTGGAGAAGGGAAGAGTGGAGACCCGAGCATTTCCTTTGGGTGCAGGCTTAGGGTGGAATCCATGGGTCCGGTTGTACCTCGAGAGTCCATTCTCCTAGTGCTTTGGTGACTTGCCAGAGGAACCGCGTATTTGTTCATCGGCATGCGGCACGCGTGCGCGAAGCATTGGGCTTCCACTGCTGCGCCAGTGGGGCGCCTCCTCATGGGGATACACAGAGACGTGCTTCCGTGGCCTCACGGGCCCCTCCCATGGTCTGGGAGAGATCTCGCGAGGTTCTCCGAGATCGCGACTGCTGCCCGACAGGTAAAGGAGCCCGCGGCTGGTGCCCGAGAGGTGAATGAGCACGCGACTGGCGCCCGACAGGTAAATCCAGATTTCTTGAACGTTTTTGTGGCGCTCCAGAAAGTTATGCTTCGTTCTATACTTTAGTGCGGCGTCATCGAATAGGCAATGCTGTGATTGCGTTTGCACCACACGAGCCGTATCGAATATCGTTTTGCGTTATAGGATCTGTAGACTGACTCTTGTGTTTCCAGAGCGCACGTGACGTTTGCAGGATTTTGTTTTGCGTTTTCGAATGCCGCCGTTCTAGATCCTCTATTGGTGGCTGGGGAGAAGCTGTGAAAATCATGCCGGCGTGCGAGATTCCTGGGCCTCTCGGTGCGACGGGAGGCCCGGAAGTGCCCCTGCGTGCCGTCGGACACTGCGCTCGCTCGGCGTGAGCTTGCGTCGGCGCGAGCGTCTTGCTCCCCCGGCTGCCGCAGCTGGTCCGCACTGGTCTGGTCTTCTTTCGGATTCCAGAGCGCGGGGCCTCCAAAACAAAAGGATCGGATTCCAGCGCTTGGCCTCCGCCCAGAGAGCATTGGTCCGGGAGACGCCACAGGCCCCCCGGGATGGCACGGGGGAGAGAGCGGGGAATGGTGGCAGAAGGCTTGGGGCGAAGGTGGAGCCTGGGCGCGGAGCAATCTGCGGACGAGTGCCGAAGTCATTGTGTACTGGGCTTGGCACGGGGGAGAGACGGATGAGTGGCTGGGAGTGAGGAGAGGCGCTGGGAGAGACGGGCGAGGGGGCAGGCTCCGTCCATGCGGGAGGGTGCCCTGTCCGTGCCCGTCGACGAGGTCATGTTGTGGTTCCCAGACGAGGACAGCCCCTTTTCTCCTGGCGCCCCCCCCCCCCCCGCCAGCGTCAATCATGTATGTTGGCCTGCCCCCCCGTGCCCCGTGTTTTGAAAGTGTGCCGCAGGCGTGCTGGAGGCAGCCGTCTTATGTCAGCGCGAAGCCCAAACAGTTATTTTTATGGGTAATGAAGTCCTGGTGGCCCTGTCTCCGATTGCCAGCGCTGTTTTCTCTGATCTACCGCTCGCAACTTTTGTTTACTCTGTGGATGTGTTGCAGTCTTGAAGTACGAGTTTCGGCAGCTTCGGCAGTAGCAGCGTGTATAGCTGGAGTACTGTGAGGGATATCTTGCCTCTTTGTCGTCCCCGATGCTCAATCTCCCTGCGCCTCAGGCCTCTTCGATGTCCGACGAGCTCTTGGTTGGATGCCAGTCCAACATGCACCAGTCTGTGTCTAGCGTGGTCGTGCCATTCCGCATGCCCTAAAACTGGGGTGACTGTGATCAGCGTGACGCCTCTGCCTCCTCTCTCCTCCTTCTCCGAACCCATGCTCACTCAAACTGAGACTCACTCACGCTCAGGCCACTCATGCTCAGCCCCGCTCACTCAGACATCTCACACTCAGCTAACACTAAGACTCCCTCATGCTCAGACCCGCGCGCGCTCAGGCTCACTGACACTCAGACTCACTCGCTCAGACCACCCCATACTCAGATGCGCTCAGACTCAGCTTACTCACGCACTCCAACTTACCCACGGACACACTCATATCCAAACTCATTCATTTCCCGAAGCCCCATGATTCACCGCGATGTAGTAGGCAGAGCATTTGAACACCCCAAGGGGGGGGGGCGCCGAGGGGTGTTAAGCTCGCCCGTTCTCGCCCAGAGTGTGGGGATATCTCCAAGGAGACGCTTGTTTTGCGGCTCCAGCTCCTCCCCTTTTCATAGCGGATTGTCAGGACGGCTTGAGCGAGGCGCTCGTTTTAGCACCCCAGGGGGGAGCCGCCGGGGGGTCTTACAATCGCCCGCTCGCGCGCAGATGGTGGAGATGTCTCGCGCCAGGAGCTGGTTTGGCGGCTCTGACTCCTGTTCTTTACGGGCCGCTTGTCAGGGAGGAGGAGGGAGGAGGGAGGAGGGAGGAGGGAGGAGGGAGGAGGGAGGAGGGAGGGGGAGGAGGAGGAGGAGGAGGAGGAGGAGGAGGAGGAGGAGGAGGAGGAGGAGGAGGATGTCTCAAGCGAGGCTCCGGTTTCAGCACCCCGGGGGGGCAGCCGCCGGGGGGGAGTGCTGCGCTCGCCCGTGCGCGCCCAGGGCACGGGGGGGATCTCGTCCAGCGAGACGCGCCCACCTCGCAGCCGACCGTGAGCATGCCTCGAGCGGGGCGCCCGCCCTCGGGCTTCCGAAGTCACAATCCGCCCTGCTCCGACTCCTGTTTCGTCGTCGCCCTCCTCGTCCTCCTCCTCCTCCTCGTCTTCCTCCTCCTCCTCCTCCTCCTCCTCCTCCTTGTCCCCCTCCTCCTTCGTCCTCCCTCGTCCCCCTCCTCGTCCCCCTCCTTGATGACGGCTCAAGGTCGACCTCGAGCTGGCACCCCAAGGGGGGGAGCCATCACGGGGCGTTGTAGCACTCGCCCCTTCGCGCCCGAGCTGCGAGGGTGTCCTCGAGCGAGGCGCCTGCTTGGCGGCTCCGGCTCCGGCTCCTCCTCTTTCGGAACAGATTGCCTGAGGATGTCTCGAGCGAGGCGCTCGCGTCAGCACCCAGAGGGGCAGCCGCCATTCAGAGCCCCAGGATCACCGCGATGGAGCAGGCTAAGGCTCTCGCTCGCGCAGTCACCCACGGCGGGGAGAGCCAGGAATCGATATGCACATATGGAGATTTCTGCGCGGATCAATAACGCGGACGGGGTATTACCGGCACGCAGGGAGAGCCCAACGTTCTCTGCGGTTTGTAAGCTGCACCAGCCGTCAACCAGGTGGCGTGGGTGTGGCAATGCCGCGCATGTCCCGACATTAGTTGCGTGTATCTGGCACTTGCATCGAGTGATACCTTGGTGTTGTCGTCATGCGCTGCCCCTATTGCCATCTCGACCAAAGGAATGAAGAGGAGGGACGGTGATAAAGATGATGATGATGATGATGATGATGAGGCGGAGGAAGAGGAGGAATATACTGAGGGCGACGGTGAGGAGCAGAAGAAAAAGGACGAAAAACTATGAGGAGGAGGATGATCAGGACCAGTGTAAACCCAAGATGCATCAAGATGCTGCAATAAACCCTCCCCCCAAGTTCCGCTCCATAGGTAATACTTCCGTTGCGGGCAGTGGGCCGTTGAAATACAGTCGTCTAAGCAACCAGACTCCAAGAAGGGAAGATGTCTCGCCAGGTTCAGCAAAAGGTCACACAACAACGATTGTATCGGGGGCGGCAAAGAGGGGGGTGAAACCAGGGGGGGGTGGACATCATGGCGTGGGCCATGATACTTCCCCAGCTTTCATGGCGCCTCTTCTTATTCCATCACGTTCCCTGGCCCCCCCTTGGGCCGCGCACGTGCCGCCGGCGATGATCTGCGCCCCCCCCCCCTCTTGGACGCTCCCCTCGTGGCCGTCCCCAATTTCAGGAGGGGAAAAACACACAGACACAATTAGTCGTCGATTCCCAAGAACATATGCGAAACTATGGGAAGTGGGGGGGAAGACAGAAACCCAGAAAATATAGGAAAATATGGGGAATCTGTTTATTTGTGTGTATTTATTTGTGTGTTCTGGGGCCGCCCCCAAGTGTACATGGTACATCTGATGGGATCAGGCGCCCCTCGATTTCCAGAGTGATCGGGAAGGACTTCGCCCTCTGCCGCTGGCCCCCACTCTGACATCATGGGGCATGCCAGAGCTATGTTTAAGTCGGGCACGTCCCTCTGCAGTAGGAACATCCTAAAATAAGTAGAAAACAGCCTGGGGACTAAAAAAACAGCCTGGGGACTGTTTTAACTATTGCTTTATAACTATGTTTGACCTCTTTTTGGTGTATGTTGTGGGACTATTTTGTGTTGTTCGTCCAACCTGAAGCTATGTTGCAATGCCTTGGCGCCGACTTGAAGCAGTATCGGAACCTCTTGCGAGGACTGCTGGTAATCGTAACTTCATTTGCAAGGGATCGTGGCCTCGGGGGCGCGAATCTGGCGTAAGCTGCGAGGGATCGCGACCAAGGGGGCGCGAACCTGTTGTAATTTACCGTGTTCTGGACTCGGGAGCGCGAACATGTTTTTACAATGTAGCCTCGGGAGCGCGAATCTTGCGTAATTCACAATGGGTTTATGGCCCCGGGAGCGCGAAACGTAAGGTAATTTACAAAGGGGCTGAATTTACTAAGGATTCTGGCCTAGGGCGCGCGAACGTAGCGCAATTTACAATGTATTCTGGCCTCGGGACCGCGAATCTGAAATAATTTCTAATGGCTTCTGATCTCGGTCGTATGAGTTTGCTGCAGTTTCCAAGGATTCCGGATTCGGGAGCGTGAATTCAGTGAAATTGCGAGGGATTGCTGGCTCGGGGACGTGATTCTCACGTTTCTCTACGTGTCCCATACCCACCAGAAACTCAGGCAAAGCGACTCAGGTTCCTTGGATTTCAACGATACGAATGCTTAAACTCGCTGAACACTGTTGGAATGAAGGTGCGCGCCGCTAGGCGAGAACCACATTTTAAGAAGGCGCCAGTCTCCATCCTTGAAGCTGCTGCAAACTTGTCAGACGAATGGACGCGATGCCAAGGCGAGAGCTTCATGTTGAAAA